AGAATGTTACCCCCTCTAGGAAGTATTTACATTTTAATAGGGGAAAATGCCAGTGACTCTAAGAAATGAATCTTGTAATGGAAGATTTCTAGGAAACAGTGAAAGGCTAGTGAGTGAAAGTTTTAGGGGGTGGGAAGGAGAGACATCTTCCAGATGTTCTAGAAATTATACTATCAGCAGCTACCCATTACGCCTACATGATAGCCTTTGGTAACAGTGGGTGAAAATCTAGAGTGTTGTATATAATTATTTCTCAAGTCTTCCTGACCTTGCTCATCATGCCTTCCGTTGAACCATGGGATAAACAGGATTCATTCAACATATACTTACTTAGTGTGGTGACTTAGGGATAATGGATAGAAGCCTGACCTGTGATTTCATTAGTGTAGGAAATTCCCCCTGCCAATTCAGGTCCAAACCTTCTCTAAACTTTTAGTCTTAGAGATTGGCCTAAAGCACTGGGGTCTTAAGTGACTTGCCCAGGACCATCCAGCCAATAAGTGTCAGATATGTTTTCCTAGCTTCCAGGCCAGCTCCCTTTCTACTACCCCCCAACACTGACCCTCATCACAGTACAACTGTGATACATAAAGGTGAATAATACATAGTCTCTGCTCCTAAGAATCTTATAACTGAGGAGATAACATTTGTACAAATAAATATAATGTATAATATAAAGTAGAGCCTGAAATGGGCATAGGAGAGGTAATGTATGAATAGAGTTCAGAGGAGAAATCACCTTTGACTAAGAAGATCAGAGAAGGCTTCATTGAAGCATTTGAGTCTGGGGTCTGAATAACAGCTAGAATTTTAAGAGGCAAAGGTGAGACGTTCTGGGTTTATGGAGAAGTTTGAGTCTATGATTCTGATAAACTCAGAGATCTCAGAAGTCACCTAGTACAAATTAAAATTTAGCAGGAATCTACTCCCACCCCACCCCACCCCACCCCCTACCCCCAAGTAGTGATCCATTATCTGCTTCAAGACTTCAGTGATGAGAAATTCACTGTCTCTAAAAGGAACCCATTTCACTTTTGTACATTTTCAGTTGTTAAGTGGTCCTTCATCTCACCCCTGCCCCATAGGTAAATCTGTCTCTGTGGAACCTTCTTCTCATTACTCCTGGCTCTGTCCTCTGAGACCAAATAGAATAATCAGTTATTCAACAAGCATTTGTTTATTTATTAAGTACCTACTGTGTGCCAGGCACTGCGCTAGGCACTAGGGAGATACATTCTAAACAAATATAACTCCCTCTTCCACAGCCTAATTATCATGCCCTTCCCATGGAATATCTTTTCCCTAACAAATATCCCAAACCTCTGAATGATGTAGTCTCTTACTATCTCTTACTATCTAGTTAAGAGGACTAAAAACCATTACCATCCTCCCCAGCTCACTCCAAACATGCAGATAGTTAAACCAGGCAACAAGTAGATGTGGAAATTTCTCAGTATAGTACATTGGAAAATAGCACTACTCTGTAGTCGGAGGACCTTGGGTTCAAATCCTCTGACATGTGCTACCTCTATGACCTTGGGTAAATCACTTGCCCTCTTCAAGCCTCACTTCCACTCCTGTAAAATGAAATGGTGGGCCTAGATATCCTCAGAAGTGCCTATTCTCTCTAAATCTCTTATCTCACACAGAAGTTTTGTTTTGAATTCCCAGTAGACAAGCAACGTTTACCCATATACTCAAATGGACCCTCAATTCTGGAGTTCCATCCATCAGTGTGGATCAAAACCCATCCGTGGTGGTTAATGTGGACATATGTTTTGCATGACTTCATGTGTATGATGGATATAGTATTTCTTGTCTTCTCAGTGGGTAAGGGAAGGGGTGGAGGAAGGGAGAGAATTTGGAACTGCAAATAATTAATAAAAAAAAATCTGTGGCTATCCTGGGTAGCTTTTGCCCATGTTCTCCCAGAAGTTCACCAGAGGAGGTTGACTCAACCCATTTAACAAAGCCACATGTGTAAGCATAAAGTGTGTGCTGATCTGGACACTTTTGTAGCATGTCAAAGAAGTGTCAGGGTCTATTTTCAAGTCATCTGAAGTCCATTTTGAGTGATAGAATGTGCGCTTTGGGACTCATCAATTAGTAACACATAGACAAGCAAGAGTCTATGGCCAATTAGCCCAGTTCATTTAGAGCATAGTATTAATGAAGCCATGTGCTTCCCATCCACAGTCTAGCACTCTCTAACTCAGCCAAACTGCCCTGTTCTCTGCTCTTCACATAGCACACTCTATCTCCATACCTTTTCACTGGCCATCCCACATACCTGAAATTACCATCCCTTTTTACCTCTACCTTATAGAATTCTCTCCTTCCTTCAGGACCCAGTGCAAGCACTAGCTTCTACAAGAAGCCTTTCTTAATCTCCAAAATGATAGTACCCTCCCTCCCAAACTACCTTGTGTTTAACTACTTCGTATATATTTAGATTTGTTCACTTTATATTTATTAGATAAAGACAGACTTACACATTGTCTCATCCATTAGAATGTATGCTTCTTGTGAGCAGGAACTGTTTCATTTTTCTCTTTGTATCTCAAGGCCTAGCAGAGTGCCTAGAACATAATAGGTGATTGACTTTCAATGCTTGCTGATGGATTTATTCAATTCCATAGCCACAGTCCACATGCCTAAATTTCATGGGTCACATGAGTCAGTGAAAATCTATCATCTCAACTGCAAAACAATTCAAGGCCTATTGACTGGTCATTCCAATTGCATTTTTCCAAAGAAGTGTCTGTACAATGCAAATAAAATGATTGTTGAAGCAGTATGTTGTAAATAAAGGAGCTCCACGAGACCATGAATTTAATCAGAGAAGGCTTTCTCTGGAGTAGTTATTGTATCATGTAAATGACCTGAAGGTGAACAGTCTCTGAATATGTATTTGACAAACACAGATGTTCTCATTTGGGACAGACGGGTGGGACTTTATGGAATGGGAACGTTTCATGTACTTGGAGAATTGTTGGAGCTTCTTAGTGGGAGGATGCTGAGAGGAGGGCCTCATAATTTTAAGGTTAGATAAACTTTCCAATTATTTCACAGTCTTTGTTCTTGGTAAATATGCAATATTGGCAAGAGTATTGTGATAGCACCCCTCACATTTCTTCCCTTAAAGTAGAATGTGAGTGTGTGTGTGTGTGTGTGTGTGTGTGTGTGTTGGGAGGGAGAGGAAGGGTTGAGGGTTGGAAGTATAATGGCTCAACTAGAATATTTGCTCAGCAGCGGAGTGAGCCAAAAATTGATTGTTTCCAAGTACTCACCCTCCCTTTCGTTGTTAGTGCAAGAAGAATTAGCATGCCTATTTTTTTCTCTGTCGTCGGATAGAGACAGGGGGAAACCCAAGGGAAAACCCTGGAAGCAGACTCAGCAAGACCATGAAATACTGCAGATGAGCTGGAGCAGATTCCAGTATTTTCACCAAACATTGATCTTGACTTTCCAGGACAAATGAATTTCTCAGTGAATGCAAGTGACAACAGAATTTCATGTCTCATATAGGACACTTTGTGCAAAACAGAGAATATAAGTAAAATTATGTGTTTGTTTTCAAATTATGCCTGTGGGTGGAAGATATATGGTGCTTTAGGAATTGTTGGGAACTTTTCCCAAGGAGCCTATCATAAAATAATTAGCCAACAGCTTAACCCCATGTCCCTGAGGTTCTTAGTATAGGCTCTAAATAAAGTTTGAATGCAATGTACTGTAATAAAGAGACTGTTTAAACAGTCTAAATAGGGAATCAGATAGATACTAGAGTACTAACAGTGCAGCAGGGTACAGAACTCATAATAAGTCACAATTATATAAAATATATTAATATATTGTATTAATAATATATGTATATATCATTAATATATTAATAATATATATTAATATATAAAATCTGTAGAATACCATATAACTATATATAAAACATAATAACCACCAAATAACCTCACAAACCAAAACTGAGAAACCAAGAGAATTGGAAATATCTAGGTCAAAGTTTGAGGCCAAGAAAGTAGAGGGGTTACAATGGCTGTGAAACCAATCTTTATGAATTCTAAGGCAGTTGGAGTTCAAGCTATAAGCTTCCTGGAATAAGACATAGCCCTGTGAATTTTGTTATAGGTTGGGGTAAATATAATCTTGAGGAGATTACTAAAACTAGTTAATATGTTGCCATTTGTACTTCAAAGCTAACTTGCAAAAATTGGATGAAGAGAAGTCAGCTAACATTTATTGAATGGCCCACTAGACCTTTTGAAGTATTAATAAAGAATATATTGTATTTTACTATAAAATGGTTATTTTCATGCATTTCTCCTTTTATAGTTTATAAACCAGAGGGTAGAGATGGGAAATAGGAGTCCTTGCTAGAAATCTGAGATTAGCAGTTCTTTCTATTGGCCTTTGAGTATTCAGTATTTTTCATGAGTGATATCCATTGAATTTTTATGTAAAAGAGAGAAAACATATGAGAGGCATTACAACATAGAGAATAGAGTGAGAGGATCAGAAAGACTTGGGTCCAAATTTCACCTATGACACTAACTGTGTGATTGTGGACAAATCACTTAAGCTCTTGGAGCCTTGGGCAACCAAGTTATATATTAAGTTATACTGTAGATGGCTCCAATCTGTGTCAATGAAAGGAATTTCCACGCAAATGAAATCCCACAAGAAAAATATCCTTGACCTGTTGAAATACAGTAAAAAGAAGCATCCATTCATTAGACCATACAGAAAACAGCATCCCTTTTGAACAATTTCCCCAAATGTGTTGGCCATGTTTATCTGTTTTGTGTACTTCCCACTGGCTTTAGAAATAGAAAGGAAACTAAGATTTTAAAACAGCTTGTTTTCTTCTAACTTAATTACTCTGTTTTTTGAATTTCAAATAAAATTAGGCTGACCTTCTCATGCTAGCAACATGTGAATTTGAAAGAATTAACACATTTGGTTTCTATTTTGTATACGTGTTTTTCCAGAAAGAGAAGAAAAGTGGACTGTTGAAACTTCTAGCAGGAGCCTCTACCAAAAAGAAGTCTCGCTCACCCCCATCTGTGTCCCCAACTCATGACCCCCAGGCGGCAGCAGCTGAGGGAGCTCTCCAGGGTGCTGTGGGACCTGAGGTGTCATTGCTGTCTAGCCACGGAAGGGCTGGCTCCTGCCCGATCGAGAGTGAGATGCAAGGGGCTATGGGCATGGAACCACTTCACCGGAAGACTGGCTCCTTGGATCTGAATTTCTCCATCTCCTCCCCAGTCAGGCAGCCTCCTCCTTCCATGGCAGCCATCCGACCAGAACCCAAGCCATTGCCCCGAGAAAGGTAATGAGGATAAGGGAAATAGACATTGTATCCTTTCCGGTGCTTTGTGGCACAGAGGGGAAGGGTTGTTTAGTCTCAACATGGGGAGGCAGCATGGTCCAGGGGAAAGAACACTAAATGTGGAATCAAAGGACCTGGGTTCCAATTCTTGCTGTCCCACTATGTGGTCTATACTTGGCCTGTCTGGACTTCGGCTTCCTCATACTTAAAATGAGGGGGTTGTGTTAGATGACATGTAAGGCCCCTTCCAGCTTTAGATCTATTTTCCTATGTAGGCTACTTTCAATGAGGAAGATAACTCATTGGAAACAAGCTAGCAACCTTGAGATGGGTGCCATAAATTGGAATGTCTGCCTCCATCAGAAACAGGTTGAGAGTCCCTTATCCTTGTTATGAGTAGGCCTTCTCTGGTATCTTGAGAAGCACCAAGCATGCTGTGACAAAGTCAGAGGTTATTCTTTCCATGTAACCAGTTAGTCTCTGCAGAGACTCTGCTTTTGACTTTCCTGGTCATGGAGTTTCTAAGATTCTCGTGTATCTCCTAAGGACATTCCATAGCTTCTGTCAGAAAGCTTTTCCCAGTTTTCCTTGTTGGAAAGTTCTATGTATCTCACAGAAACTTCTCATGTTGCAACTGAAATCTACCTTGTCAAATGTCAACTTTCTCCTGAAAAGAGTAATGAAGACCTTACGTATTTACTGAGTCCTTGGTTCAGGAGATAGACAAAAAAAAAATCTGGGTGTCCTGTTTGAAGTTCAGTCCAGAGAGATATCTCTAATTCTCTGAGCCATATGGATTGGATAAAGTTGAAATTGTGGGCCACCAAGGAGTAAGTTCAGAAAGGGCCACCTTCAGCTCTATTAAATAGAAAAAAGCATACCTCCCACTCCATGCAAAAAAAAAAGAGAGGGAGCCCTTTTCAGGTAAATTTGCACTTAGAAATTCATACCTTCAAGGAGTAAGAAGGAGAGGGGTTGCAGGTTGTAGAAAAGGGCTATGGCAAATCAGGTTTTCCTCACCCAGTTTGTAAAACATTATAGAAGATGCCACCTAAATGCAGGCTTATTTGGAGTCCTTTTAAAGTCTATTAAAAAGGACTACATTGTCTTTCTAATTTATAGCTATGTTATAAACTTAAGCCTGATGCAGGCAGTTACAGTAAAAATGTGTCATAGGCAGAACCAATTCACAGAAACAATTAATTAATTAATTAATTCTCCTTACCTTCTACTTTCAGGAGAGAGAAGCAAATCACAAAATTAGCACATATGAGATATTTAGGGTTTTTTTGGTTGGTTGTTTTTTGTTTTTGTTTTTTTTGGGGGGGTTTGTTTTTGTTTTTGTTTTTACAAATCACAAACAAAACTTTTTGGGATATTTCCTGGGCACAGGATATGTCTAGCAAATCTCCCTCCACCTTGTAGGGCTATAATTAATATTCAGAATGCCAGGCCCACTAAGATCCCCAGGTATCAAAGGATTAATTTTTTTTTGCTTTGCCAGTTTGTTTTTTACCAAGACAGGAAACTGTCTTAAATAATAGTAAATTTTGTTTTAAATAATAGTAATAAAATGAGCATAGCAGATGCATTTCAGAAGGTTTTCAATATGAAAGTTAAAGCACAACAGAATCTACTTAACAATATCCGTGCCTCCATTTTCTTGTCTCTAAAACGCTGACCTCCTTGTGGGCAAGGACAAGGATGGTGCTTGTTACATGCTAAATACTTAACAAATGCTTTTTGACTGATTCTAAAATGAAGGCATTAAAATAATGACATTTTAGAGGTAGAAGGGACGTTAGAAATCATCTAAGTCTAGTCTTTCACTCGTGTAGGAATAAATATGTCTTCTCTTGCTCTGTATAGAATAGAAAAAGGATCAGTGATTGAGTAATGAAAAGATCCAGAAGCAATAATAATGATGATAATAATAGAATTTGTGGAAGACATTAAAGTTTGTAAAATATTTTACAAATACAATTTCATTTGATCCTTACAACCCAGTAAAGTTAGGTGCTTTTATTATCCCCATTTTACAGAGAAGGAAACTGAGGCAGAGAGTGGTTAAATTACTTGCCCACAGGCACCCAGCTAATGTCTGTGGCTGGATTTGAGCTTAGGTCTTTCTGAATCTAAGCCTACTGTTCTAACCAGTGCACCGAGATCAGGGAGGGCAGATTCCAGCATCACAAGAAAAAATTTTCTGACAAATGGAGCTGTCTATCCGGTCTTCTCCAAGACAGCCCTTCACGTATTTGCAGATCTCTGCCATGTATCCAGGTTGAAAGGCCCCAGTTCCTACCTCTTTCCCTTACATGACTTAGTTACAGACCTAAAACGAGATTATCTCTAAGGACCTCTCCAGCTCTAAAACTTTTTGATCCTTATTCATTATTTTCAATTTTATGACTACAAAGTCCTGATACTTTGTTCTTTTGCTAGTAATAGTAGGTTCATTTTATCCTCATGACAGCCTGAATATCCAGAAAATTACACAACCCATTATCGTGTATGCCCATTAATTGGATTTTACTCTGCTACTTGTTTAGCTTCAAATGCTTTAAAAAAAAAAAAAGGCCATGGAAACCTTTGGCACAGAGTTTAATTCTCCTCATTCCCCAGACACTCAGTAAAAATCTCAATAATAACTGCTAAGGGAAAGCCTGAGACCACAAGCACTTCTAGAGTAGCCAGACGCCAAATCTGAGTTTTGAAGGCCTGTCGCTAAACAAGCATTTTAGAATTATGTACCAGATACTTTTCTAGGCACTGGGCATACAAAGACAAAAACTAAACATCTTCTGCCCCCAAGAAGATTAAAATCCATAGAAATCACCTATGCGGTTGCTGGAGGTTAAGTAGTACTTTAGTATCAAGGCAGCTACCTGGTACAGTGGATAGAATACCAGGCCTGGAGTCAGGAAGACTCATCTTCCTGAATTCAAATATGACTTCAGATACTTACTAGCTGTGTGACCCTGGGCAAGTCGCTTACCCCTGTTTGCCTCAGTTTCCAATGAGCTCGAGAAGGAAATGGCAAACCACTCCTGTATCTTTGCCAAGAAAACCCCAAATGGGGTCACCACTGAAAAATGACACAACGATCCAGGCAAAGAACTAGAGCTCTCATCGTTGCTAATTATGGAATCATCACTCTAGACATAGAAGGAACCTCATAGGTCCTATAGTCCAATTGCTTCTTTTTTTCCAAATAAAGAAACTTGAGGCCCCGGGACTTTTTGATCCTCAGGGTGGAGTCATACCAGAGGACATTTGCCATAGGTTACTGTTTTCCCCCTTCTATTAGAAAGGAGGCAAGCAGCTAGGCCTGCCCTGGGATTTGGGGAATTTACCCACTTTGCTTAGTGGTGCTTATGGGGGAGAAGTGGAACATGGTAGAAAGAATAGTGAACAAGGATTTAGGCCTGGTACTACAGCTAACTCAGCCTTAAGAAGACCCTTCCTCCCCTGCCAAAGCCTTAGTTTACTCATCTGTAAAATGAAGGCTTAGACTACTACTACTAACAACAATAGCTGGCTTTAAGGGTCACAAAGCATGTTACCTGCCTGTTGTGTTCTGCACACCAATTTTATAAGGCTGGTTCTACAGACATCATTAGTACCATCTGACAGAGGAGGAATCTAAGGATAGCAACTTGTCCAAAGTCCCATAGGTAGTAAATGTTGTCATCAGTATTCAAACTCAGTTCTTCCTGACTATGAATTGAGGTTTTATTTCACTTTGATCACTCTGCCTTAGATTATCTCTAAAGATCCTTTTCATGTGATCTCAAAATACTTCAAAACATTAATCTGACCCTATTTGTCAACTATCTCTTTCAACCATTTGACAAATGTTGAATGAGCACCTGCTGAGTTTGGGGGAACTTTTTTTTATGGTTAGAGAGTTGGGAAACATGGCTGAAAAGGGAAAATTAAGACTAACAGCTGTGTGTATGTACTATATATACATACATGCTCTGGGGAGGGTGAATGGAGGAAATGGAAGGCTTCCATCAAAGTCCCAATTGGAATACCATTTGCTTCCTCACTCAGAGTCCAGTGCGTTGCCTGGATCATTTAATTTTTATCTCACCTTAATTGAGAATCTGTGTGTGTACAGGCTCTCCTAAGGTATCAAATCTAGTGCTTCTCCTTAAGAAATGTCCTCACTACTCACCCATCCACACAGCTGCAAGCAAGGGAATGGAATGCCCGTGCCCTGGCAGTAGGTAAAGCCAGTGCCATTCAAACCCATCATCACTAGATGAGTCCATTTTGAACTCGTATTATTGCAGGAAGGATTAGATGGTCACCATGACACAAATAAAACTAATTGCGATAAGCTGTGATAAAGATTTATTTTGATTTTCGCCATTTTGATTTTTGGATTCTTGAGTCTGAAAATAAGCTGTAATTGAGATAACCTTAATTAAACACAGCAGGACAGATTCTCTAATTGATTTGTGATTTAACTTGCACTGCACTGGTGTAGCCGCAATCCTTAACTTATCTTGTGGCTCTTCATGCCCATAATGGGGAATATTAATTACCTTCATGCAACAGAAAGAATAGTGCATGGTCTTAGAGTAATCTGAACTGAAACGTTAAACACTTGTCTCTTCTAAATTCTTCCCACATCCATCTGTGCTCATTAAATCACTGAATTGCTCAGAAGCACCAAATTACTTTTTTCTAACAAATTACATTTTGGAAACTGCTTGTTTGTGTCACATCTGGCAGCTGAGGCAAAAGCCAGAACTGAGCTGCTTGGTTGCTGAGAAATCTCATCTTTTGCATTTTTTCTTCCTTAAGAATGGGGGGAGTAAGGAGAGTAGGTGGAAAAAGAGTTGAAGCAAATATAATAGAAACGAGGATTTGTACATTCTTTTCTCTCCTCTAGTTTCTTCTCTGTGCCATGGTGGTTCAACATACACACAGCCGAGACACAGCTTCATATACCAGTAGAAACGTCCAGAGTATGAGCGTGTGCAAAA